GCCGCCTCCGCCGCTTGCGGCGGCTGAACTTGCTGGTGCTTCATTCTCAGCGTTTCTTCCACTTTAGACACCATTTTGAAAAGATTTTTAAGGAAATGATCGGAAGAGGCAATTTGATTTGTGGTGTGGGGAACATCCCTACATAAGCACCTGGTTTTATAGTGTCCTAGGATGACGAAAATGCCCCTCCCCAATTGGCTTAATTTCTGTTTCGTTCTTATCCCCTTTGGAATTATATTTTAAATTATTTTATTTTATTAAATTTTAATGGTTTCACTTGGGCTAGATACATTTATCCTACTGAAAAGGCAGTGTATGGGCCCATAATTATTTTATTTTATTAAATTTTAATAACAGTGCCTAAATTGTTGCCCAGTCAAAATAAATAAATTTCGATAAAGTTCATATTCAATGTTACGGTGATTCATAATTCCGGGATCAACTAGAAAATGATACTCCGAATCATAGAACTATAATGAAATATACGATCAACCAACATTCATCAAATTTGAAAAAGGGTCAGAAGAAATGGTGATTGTACATGTCTTAACTGATTGAATATAAGCTACAAACGACTTGTTGTCAGATTGATGTTATCAGAATATCATATTAAGATATAAAATTACAAGTTTAGTCTCTAAATGTTGGGTTTGTGTCTGTCTGGTCCCTAAACTTTCAAAACCGCAGTTCTTTCCCATCAATTTATGTTTAATAGAACTCTAAACTTTTAATTATATGTGTAGTAAATCTCTTACTTCAATTTTATGTCTAATAAAACCTTAAATATTTAATTTTATATCTAGAACATCTATAAATTTTAAAAATACAAAATTAAAATTTTTTAAAAACTATATATTTTTCTAAATTTAAGAGGCAGGTATCCATAATTGTGAAAGAAAAATGTGAACGCTAAAATATGAATATTAATTTAATGTCCAAAATACTTAATAAAAAAAATGTTAGTGCCCACAGAATATATTTAGATATATAGTTCCAAAGTTTCTAACGGCCATATCTTTGAACCATAGATTGAAACTATATAATATATGTAAACTTTATAATATATTCAATTAATGTCACCCATGAAATTATTTAGTAAATTAAAATATGATAAATAAAAGCATTGGATTCTCCCTTGGAGCTGGGTTTTCCATTTTAAATATAATGCAAACATTTATTAATTAGGTTAATATGATATTAATCTTTACTTAATTGGGTTTTATAATCATATTATAATGTTATTAGGGTTTGAAGATGATGATGATGGAGAATTTGTCACGTTGTATGGAAGGGAGAGGTCTTCATGTGCATACCCATGTGATCATGTGGTCTGGTTCCTCCTGTCTTCTTGTCTCATTGGTCTCTTTCTTTTTTATTTTAGGTCAAGATGCATGTATGCATTCTTTAAGTGAAAACTAAGAATCGAGAATTTTGGAATGTTTTGGGTAAAAATTACGTTCGGTTCAAGAGATTGGTTTCGTAGAAGTACAGTTTGTTAAAATATCATCACTAGTCCAGTAGGGTCGTCGAGCCCAGTAATTATATGAACCCATTGTATATATATTTTATTAATAAATCTCGGTTTCGTAGAGAACCCATTGTATATATATTGAGATATTGGTTTCCTAGATGTACAGTTTGTTAAAATATCATCATTAGTCTAATAGGGTCGTCGAACCCAATAATTGTATGAACCCACTAGTCTAATAGGGTCGTCGAGCCCAATAATTGTATGAACCCATTGTATATATATTTTATTAATAAATTTTGAGCAATTTCAAGTAATAAAGTATAGCAGCATTATACAGTATCACTAGCCCAATAAGGTCGAGCCTAATCATATGCTTTTATGCTAATTTGAACAATATGACCCTTTTGTTAATAAATCTTGAGTTGTTCTGTTAGATCAACCGTTCAAGACCTCCACTAGTCTAATAGGGTCGTCGAGTCCAATAATTGTATGAACCCATTGTATATATATTTTATTAAAAAATTTCGAGTAATTTCAAGTAGTAAAGTATAGCAGTATTATACAGTATCACTAACCCAATAGGGTCGAGCCTAATCATATGCTTTTATGCTAATTTGAACAATATGACCATTTTGTTAATAAATCTTGAGTTGTTCTGTTAGATCAGCCGTTCAAGACCTTTAGTGTAATGACCTAGATCCACCGCTAACATATATTGTCTTCTTTGGGCTTTCCCTCAATGCTTTAAAATGCATCTGCTAAGGGAAGGTTTCCATACCCAAATGGTGGTTTGTTCTCCTCTCCAACTAATGTGGGACATCACATCTAGTCTCTATCTCGGCCCAGAATGGGATCACCTTTGACCTTATTAGCCAAAATACTAATTATATAATTAGATTAACTTTTAAACTATCGTAAATTGATCGATTTATGATATTTGAAACATATCGTTGACGTTTTTCTAATTTTTCGAAAAAAATATTTATTTGTAGTCTTAATAATATCATTGAGTTCGATAAAATATTATAACAACCGAAACCCTAAAACATATGCAAATTAATTGGGTTTAATAATTGAGTTCATGAACCCATAATTCTAAACACCAAAAAGGACCATTGTGTTTAGAAAATGGGATGTTTCCCCTTTTTACTACACAAAACTTTGGTTGGTTTTCAATGTTTCTATCATATTTTCTTAATTTTAATTTTTTTTTTTTTGGGTTTAATTGAATTTTGCCCATTTTGTTGGGTTTATATTTATTTATTTATTATTATTATTAAAATTGACATTTGTTTTTATTATACAGTCTGGATCTTTGTCTTGGAATCTACCTAGGCTCCTTGGTTGAGTTCCATTATTGACTTAATTAATTATTAGGCCAATTAAACCTTTTCGATTTATTCTTGACCGCTAATAGATATTGTCCGTTTTGATCTATTGCGTATCGATATCAGCTTCATAGTTTTAAAACATGTATCTTAGTAATAGGTTTTCACACCCTTACAAGGCTTCGTTACTCTCTATCCAATGTGAGATCTCACAATCCACTCTCTTGAGAGCCCAACATCTTCGTTGGTACACCGCTTGGTGTCTGACTCTGATACCACTTGTAACAAACCAAGTCCACGGTTAATAAATATTGTCCACTTTGACTATTATGAATTGTCGTCAGCCTCACAGTTTTAAAACGTGTCTTTTATGGATAGATTTTCGCACCAAAATGTTTCGTTTCTCTCTCCAGCTGACGTGAGATCTCATATTTAATATCATGATTTATTATTTTTATTAAATTTTTTTTTAATAGTTTTTTATAATATAAAATAAGAATAATTTTACAACTATGGGCCTTCACGAAACTTTCCGGGAGGCGTTAGCCCAAGTTCGTTACTCGAGCCCAAACGGTATTATGGGCCTTAAAGTCCATTCACTTACAACTATGGGCCTTCCCCAAACAGTTTTGATGGGCCCATAGAGTCTATTCGCTTTCGGCCTGGGTGTTTGTATATAATTCTTCAATTATATTTTATAAATTTTAAAAGTAAGCTTTTTTTCCTCTTAAATTATATTTTTATCATTTAGAGATTAATAAAAGTAATAAACTAAAATTTTTAATTTGGATTTAAATATAAAATTAATAAAATTTAAAATATTTTTTATTAATTAATATTTATTTTGGGAGAAAAAAAAAAGGACAAACATATTAGAAAAAGAATACCGAATTTGGAATGTGATATGTTATATGGGTTGGAGAGAGAAACGAAACATTGGTTACAAGAGTGCGAATTTTTTTCTTAACAGACATGTTTTAAAACCGTGAGATTAACTGTAACAAGTAAAGGACTAAAGCGAACAATATTTGTTAGCAGTGGGCATGGACGGTTACAAATGATATTCGAACCAGACATCAGACAGTGCGTGGACCCCATCAAAGGGAGTGGATTATTAAAAAAAATTGTAAGACTAACAACGATATATAACAAACTAAAATTTACTTCACTAGCGGTCAGCTTGGACTGTGAGAACAAACTAAATGCCTTAAATTATAATATAATGTGATTAATTAATTAATTAAAAAAACAATTGGACCGCCATGGAATAAAAAATCAGCTGGCGTGTCGACATACATCAGCAGACAGAGTCGACTACTTACCTAAATTTATATAATTTTCGTTTTTTTTCATTTTTTGGACTAAAAAAAATACATAACCTAATTCAAGTCCAAAAGAATACCAAAAAGTCAACCCTAAAATAGAGGGCTGCATGTTCAGCCCACTCGTTGAAAAAGACACCTGGCTACCCTTTATTCTTTTATTTTTTTTTTAAATTATAATTTAAATAATTTTAAATTTTTGCCACGTCATCGCTGACAATATCAACAATTTCCTTCCAACTTATTTGTTATTATATATTATTATAATACTTTAAAAAACAATGGTTCTTATTATAAATGTTGCATCCTCTCATCATTCATTGTCACGCTACCATATTTTAAAATTAATGTAAGTCTAGTGATATATATATATATATATATATATATATTTTATATATATATATATTTTATTTAATATATTGGTGAAGTCAAAATAACAAATAATTAATGCTACATTTTGTCAAAATATTTATGAAAAATTATAATTGGAAACTTTCAATAAATAAAAAATAAAATTAAGACTAATAAAATTATAACTCAACTGTTTTAAAAAAATTGGGCGTGAGAAATTAAAAAAAAAAAAATGAAAATTTTGTCTTATTTTTATTCCATTAGTAACAAAAGACAAAAATGACGAGGGTAATAAATGAGGCTAAGCCACTGGAGCTGTGAAATTGGGCCTGAGAAATGGGCCGTTTATTTTAGATATTTGGGCCAGAGGCCCACAATAAAAGCTTTACCAATCACGGGAATATTGCCTGCTTTACCTAAACTTTTAGCGCACTTTTCAACAATCACCGATTCAGCAGCACGGACCATAGATTTATCACCTTAATACCACCGGCAGCTCCGGTTTCCTGTCTCCGTTTCTTTTGGATTTAAACCCCACGCCCCCCCCACTCACAAACCATATTCAGCTCTCGCCCAATTCACTATTCTCTCTAGAAACTTCTTACCATTCTCTTTACTTTTTCCCCAAGCCAATGGGTAAAAGTCCATTTCTCGTTCAGTTTTCTTTGAATATTGGATTTGTGGAAAATTTCTGTCGATGTTTGGTTTGGATCATGGATCGTATTTGCTATCGTTACTGATTGTGTTTTTTTTTTTTTTTTGAATTTTTTATTTGGTTCTGCGTTGATTTGCAGCCAAGATCAAGATCGGAATCAACGGTATTTTCAGCTCTATTGATTTAGTTAGAACTTGTTTGAGATGACTTTCTGGTGCGTATCTGATTAATATTCTTTCGTGTTTTGCGCTGTTTTGTTGTGGAAATGAAAAATCAGGATTCGGAAGAATCGGAAGGTTGGTCGCTAGAGTTGCTTTACAGAGAGACGATGTGGAACTCGTTGCCATTAACGATCCATTCATCACAACTGATTACATGGTATCGTTAGTCATTTCAGTCTCAGGGTTTCTTTTTGTTCTCTGTTCCTTGATCGGTCGAGAGACGATGGTGAATTTGTTGCATGAGCCTGCTCTCGTTATTATTTTAGTGGTTTTTGAGTGGTTTTCTTTTTGTTTGGTGGAATAGACCTACATGTTCAAGTACGACAGTGTTCATGGTCACTGGAAACATAGCGACGTGAAGGTGAAGGACTCTAAGACCCTTCTTTTTGGTGACAAAGCCGTCTCCGTTTTTGGCGTTAAGTACGTAATTTTTCCACTTGCCGAGGGCTAATTAATTCGGTGTGAGAGTTCCTTTTCAATCGATTTAATGTTTGAATAAATCATGATTTTAGAAATCCGGAGGAGATCCCATGGGGTCAGGCCGGAGCGGAATACATTGTAGAGTCCACTGGTGTTTTCACCGACAAAGAGAAAGCTGCTGCTCATTTAAAGGTTTGCCTTTCCTCTGTCCTTTTCCCCCTATGTTATTGTTATCTTAGACTTGTTTTTCCAATTATAATGTTTTTTTAGAATTATTCAACCCTGTAATCTCATTATCAGACACAAAGTCTGTCTAGCAAAGACTGATTTCTTCCGTTGCACTTCAATTGATGTTAATTTTGGAAATTTAGTTATAGGATTTCTTCTAGGTTAAGTTTTATCATGTTTTTAATGCTTATTAATGTTTCGACAGTGTCTTTTAAGATTTTGGGTCTAGCAATAGGGTTACTACATAAAGAAAAGCTTCAATATCAGCATATATCAATTCTATATTTATTCATCTTAGTTGATCTTTATGTTTAATGGCTGATGCAGGGTGGTGCTAAGAAGGTTATCATCTCTGCCCCCAGCAAGGATGCCCCCATGTTTGTTGTAGGAGTCAATGAGAAGGAATACAAGCCAGAACTTAACATTATTTCCAATGCTAGCTGCACCACCAACTGCCTTGCTCCTCTTGCTAAGGTTTCTACTTGCACGATTGTTGATTCTGTTGTAATTCCTCGTTATTGATTGCTTTAACACTCCATATTATTTTACGAATATTGTAGGTTATCAATGACAGATTTGGCATTGTTGAGGGTTTGATGACCACTGTTCACTCAATCACTGGTGGGTCATTGGATTATTTAGTCTATTTGTATTAAGGGGGTTCCTCCAATATACTTTTGGTGATTTTTAATCTAATGCCCTTGTTTGCAGCCACACAAAAAACTGTTGATGGGCCATCAAGCAAAGACTGGAGAGGTGGAAGAGCTGCTTCATTTAACATCATTCCTAGCAGCACTGGAGCTGCCAAGGTATTGAAATTTACCCTCTGATGCATGTTTTTTGATACCCTCTGATGCATGTTTTTTGATGATTGTCTTGCCTCTGATTGCTTTAAGCACAACTAAGGTCGTCCATTCTGTCATTATGTAGGCCGTTGGCAAAGTCCTCCCTGCATTGAATGGAAAATTGACCGGAATGTCTTTCCGTGTTCCTACCGTCGATGTCTCTGTTGTCGATCTTACAGTGAGGTTGGAAAAGAAGGCCTCTTATGAGGATATTAAGGCAGCCATCAAGTAAGGATGGAGTGTTCTTTGCTCAATTACTTAAATTTGAGTTCTACCTCCTAAAAACCGTACTATTACCTCTTGGGATATGATTGAGTGATTGAAAATCCATTCTTTGTGGTTCTTAGGGAAGAGGCTGAGGGAAAATTGAAGGGAGTTTTGGGCTACACTGAAGATGATGTCGTGTCCTCTGACTTCGTTGGTGACTCCAGGTCTGCCTTCTCATCCCAAACTGTTCTGATTTCTTCTATATGACCACCCCATCCATTAAAAGAAACAATTCTTTGTATCTGATGTTACTCATTCAACTATTACAGGTCAAGCATCTTCGATGCTAAGGCCGGGATTGCACTGAACGACAACTTTGTTAAGCTTGTCTCGTGGTACGACAACGAAGTAGGATACAGGTACAATCTTCCTCATTTCTGACATGTACCACCTTTTATTCCTTCGACAGTTTTTAGTAATGCATCAACTTTTGTTTGTTTTGACAGTACTCGTGTCGTTGACTTGATTGTCCATATCGCTGGTGTCCAGTAAGAAGGGTTTTAGCTTCCATGGTTTGTTCTTGTTCCAGTACTACAGAGGCTCAGCTATGAGCGACAAAAAGTTGAATAAAACAGAGTTTTCAAGCCGCCGGCTATTTCTTTCAAGTTCTTAAGTTGTATTGTCTTGTCTTGTCCTTTTTTGTTGAGACGATTGAGTGGATTTCCACCCACTAGTATGCTTATTTGTAATGCTTTTGAGTAGCAAAAACTCCAACTCGAAATAGATTTTTGGTTTTTCCAACCTTCCATCTCTTTGTTGCTTCTAGAGCTTGTTCTATTACGTTCCATCTATTTCTCTATTGGAGCTGTTGATAAAACTTGTCTAAATTAGAAAGAATATCCCTAAAGATCCTTGGCATTACTAGTACTTAGACACTTATAAAGGAAAATTGTGGAAAATACAGAGCCACCACATCACCGTAGCCGCGTCCCTACCAAATCTCAGGCCTGCAACTATTCCTGGAAGGGGCATCACGCCCCTTCGGATGTCAAACACTACGCTAAACTACAGCCATGCATTTCACAATGGACATTGACCCAAATCTCAGGCCTGCAACTATTCCTGGAAGGGGCATCACGCCCCTTCGGATGTCAAACACTACGCTAAACTACAGCCATGCATTTCACAATGGACATTGACCCACCACTTTCAACTCAATTATTTTGCTCACTTTTCAAGGCTCCCCATTTCCTTTATAGCTCCCTCCTCCGGACCATACATTCCCCTTCCGTTTCATACCAGTTATCCCCTTCCTTTGCCACCGACCACCGTTCCCACTTTCTTGTCGCTTCCTTTCTCTCTGGTCTTTAAGAAGACCCTTCCTCCCATTCTCAGCCATCAGTCATTTTGCCCACTATATTCAGTTCTCGCCTTGTCTTTGGAAATCCTCATAATACATCTCTCTCCAATGGGTATGATTTCATTTCTGGTTTTTGTTTACTTTCTTAAGCAAATTTCTACTTCTGTCCTCATTTTGGTGTTTTACTTTTTGGAATACTTTGCTGATTGTTCTTTCATTTGGTTGGATTCTGTATCTGCGTTGGTTTGCAGCCAAGATCAAGATTGGAATCAACGGTATTGTATTCGATTTACCCTTTTCGTTTAAATTGATTAGAATGTCCTAAAACCGATTGATATTATAGGGTGTTTACTGTTTCTGGTTATGGAAATGAAAAACCCCAGGATTCGGAAGGATTGGGAGGTTGGTAGCGAGGGTTGCTCTACAGAGAAACGATGTCGAACTCGTTGCTGTTAATGACCCTTTTATCACCACTGATTACATGGTACTCTTTGCTACTCTTTTTTACATTCCAAACTTTTTTTTTCTTCTTCCAAGCAATTGCTGGATTATATAAGTGGTCGTTTGTTTGTTTGGTGGAGTAGACCTACATGTTCAAGTACGACAGTGTTCATGGCCAATGGAAGCATCAAGACGTGAAGATTAAGGATTCTAAGACCCTTCTCTTTGGTGAGCAGGCTGTTACAGTTTTTGGCATCAGGTAATAAAACAGCACAGTTAGTCCTGATTTTCTTAGAAGAGCTTCCCTTTCAACTAGTTATTATTGAATGTTGAGTAAATATAACTTCAGGAATCCAGAGTCCACTGGTGTAGAGTCCACTGGTGTTTTCACAGACAAAGACAAGGACAAGGCTGCTGCGCATTTGAAGGTTGTTTTCTCTTTCTTCATGTAGGCCTTTTGTTAATCAAGTAAATACTTCGTTACCTTTGAGCCTGCGTGGTAGCAGTCCATTTACTGGTTTATAAGTTTCCAGTCTTTGTAATTAGCCTCATTTGAAATTTGCTACATCTGTATTGCACTTGGTTCTTCTGTTAATCCGAGAATAGTAGTTCAAGCTTACATACATTTGTTAATTTCTACTGTGTATACTTGTTTGAATCTATCAGTACTCCAACATATGATATTCGTGTTAGCTAATTTTCGATCAATCGAGGCAGGGTGGCGCAAAGAAGGTTATCATCTCTGCTCCCAGCAAGGATGCTCCCATGTTTGTTGTGGGAGTCAATGAAAAGGAATACAAATCAGATCTTGATGTTATATCTAATGCTAGTTGCACCACCAACTGTCTTGCTCCTCTTGCAAAGGTTAATCCTTAATATTCTTGGTTATGGCCTTATGGGGTTGATCATCCGAGTGTTTAAACCTGAAAAATTTGCAGGTCATTCATGATAGATTTGGCATTGTTGAGGGCCTGATGACCACTGTTCACTCAATGACTGGTGGGTCTTCGATCTGTAGGCAAAATATAGATATAAGCTACTTGATCTGAGAGGGTTTATCTGATGTACTCATTTTGTTTGATTTCTGCTAACTTCTTGCTTTTTTAGCCACCCAAAAGACTGTTGATGGACCATCTAGCAAAGACTGGAGAGGTGGGAGAGCTGCTTCATTCAACATCATCCCTAGCAGTACTGGAGCTGCTAAGGTATTCATCACTGATGAGCTCTACAGCTGACTGATGTTTTGAGTATCTACTTTCTTAGCTTATCTAAGCTCTGATCCGATCATTGTGTTCGTTTAGGCTGTCGGCAAAGTTCTGCCTGCATTGAATGGAAAACTGACCGGTATGGCTTTTCGTGTTCCTACCGTTGATGTCTCGGTAGTTGACCTTACAGTGAGGTTGGAGAAGGCAGCATCTTATGAAGATATTAAAGCTGCTATCAAGTAAGGATATAGTTTACTTCATTCTTGTGAGATCTCACATCAGCTAGAGAGGGGAACGAAGCATGAGTGTGGAAACCTCTCCTTAGTAAGCGTGTTTTGAACTGTGAGGCTAACGGCGATACTGAAATGAACAAAGCATTCCTTATAAGAGTGTGGAAACCTCTCCTTAGTAAGCGTGTTTTAAACTGTGAGGCTAACGGCGATACTGAAATGAACTGTTAGTTTGAGAAGGGTTATTACATACCTGGTCTAGAGACGTGTTATCTTTTTTTTTTTTTTATTCATCTTCTTTGTTGGTTACCAGGGAGGAGTCTGAGGGAAAGTTGAAAGGAATTCTGGGTTACACCGAAGACGAGGTGGTGTCCACTGATTTTGTGGGTGACAACAGGTACGTTTTCTACTAACGAACTTACGCGAACAAGATCTCTTACGGTCGTCGTACAACTGTATCCTTAAGACAAGATTTGTTAAGAACTCGATCGTTATATTACATAAAAACAAAGTCTATTATTTCTAAGACAAGTTACTCCGCAATCGGACCAGGTCAAGTATTTTTGACGCCAAGGCCGGGATCGCACTGAACAAAAACTACGTGAAGCTCGTGTCGTGGTACGACAACGAGTTAGGCTACAGGTACAAACAAAGCAAAAAGGGTTTGCATTACTGTAGTAATCCTGGTAGTAGTTGTAGGGACTGATGAGGCACCATTTCTGATCCCATATTGTATTGATTGTTTTGCTGTGCAGCACTCGTGTTATTGACTTGATTGTTCACGTCGCTTCTGTCCATTAAGATAACCATGGGATGCCCTTCCTCCAGTTGCTGAGAAATAAAAGAGCTTTCAACCTTCAATTTTCACCGCTTCTTCTGTTCTTCTTCCTCAATGATCATTATTATTATTATTATGTTTGGATTTTCTGGAGTTAATTAATATATCCATTTTATGTTATTTGTTAATTTCTTCTTCTTTTTAAAATTAGAAAATTTATTTTTAAATAATAAAATGTCACGTGTCAGCTTACGTTAATAGTTAATGAAAGAATGACGTAGGGACTAAAAACTATTATCAAATACTTAACTTGTACATCCCACGTTGGTTGGGGAGGAGAACAAACTACCATCCCCTAGCAGACGCATTTTAAAGCATTGAGGGGAAGTCTGAAAGGGGAAGAGAACAATATCTGTTAGCGGTGGATCTAGGCCGTTACAAATGGTATCAGAGTCAGACACTGGACGATGTGTTAGCCTTCTCGTTGTTTTCTGAAGGGGGGTAGACACGAGCGGTGTGTTACAAATGGTATAAGAGCCGGACACTGGACGATGTGTCAGCCTTATCGCTGTTTCTCGAAGGGGGGTAGACACGAGCGATGTGTTACAAATGGTATAAGAGCCAGACACCGGACGATGTATCAACCTTCTCACTGTTCTCCGAAGGGGGTAGACATGAGGCGATGTGCCAGTAAGGATTCTGATCTCAAAGAGTGCCAGCGATGAAGGTCACTAGGCCTTGAAAGGGGTGGATTGGGATGTCCCACATTGGTTGGGGAGGAAACCTTCGGATGCTGAAAGGGAAAACCGGTGGATCATACTTAGATACCCAAATAAAATCTAAATCGAACCGAAAAGAATATAATTAAAAAAATTCATAAGATCCAATTTAAGCAAATGATAGAGATTTAAGAACTAGATTAATATTAAAATCAAAGAAAAAAAAGTGTATTTTACCATTTTTAATTTAAAAAAAAAAAGATTTTACAAATAAACTTAGCAAATTGCATTAAACTTTGATAATAAATATTGCAATATTTATTATGATGGTTAGTTGATTAATATTTTCATGGAAGTTGAGAAAGAAAAGTTAATTATTTAATTATTTATATTTATATTAGTGATTTTTTATGTTGATTTTTATTTTTAAAAAATAAACCATGGTTGAATTAGTGAGAAAAATAAAGAAAAAAAAGAAGGAAAAACAATAATTATATATCCCGAATTTAAAAGATTTGGGGAAGTTTGGGTAAAAATTCAACTGTTTCCTTTTAATAACCTTCACGCGCCACCATGGACCATACGACAGAGCAGAGCTACCGCATTCAAATTTCATATAATTTGGATCTCTCCGCCAAATCACGCCACTGAGCTCTTCTCTCTCTCTCTCTCGAAGCGATTTTTTCCTCAACAAAGACCTCCAATGGAGTTCTCTTTACTGCTTAAAATGGCGGAGTTTTAGATTTCTAAATCTTCAACTGTTTGTTTGATTCGGATTAGAAATGGCGTCGTCTGCTTTCAAATCGACGACCAAACGGACGCCGATCGGAGCATCGGTTGCTTCAAATGATGACTCCGCTTCCACCAATCGGAGCTCGATTCACCGCCGCTCTCGAAGTCTGAGCCGATTTTCCCACCCTCTGACATCGTCTCCCGCCGATAAGGGATTCGACGAGGGTTCAGCTCGGCAAGGTAGGTTTGTAAACACGTCGTCGAGAGGCTCGGGATTCCCTGAGATCAGTCTCGATGACTTAGCGGTCGAATTCTTCGGTTCTGGTGATCGAGGGCGGTCCGCTGCGCGGAGCTCCGAGTCGAGTGGTGCTACGAATGCTGCCGTGGCGTCGAATAGACGAGGGAGGTCAGTGTCGAGACACAGTTGTGCTAAAGGTAATGGCGGTAGTAACGAGGGCAAAGGAAGAGCCAGTTATAGCGTTGGAGGGGGAAAAGTGGTTCCTGAAAGTAATTCGAGAAGAAGGCGCTCTCTCTCGGTGGTTCGCTACCAGATTAGCGATTCGGAGGTGAATAATCCATTCCATTTTCTCTGGTTCGGTTCTGGTTTGAATAATTTCTTACTTGGATCAGAGGACGAATATCTATTCCTATAGAAGGTTCATCTTAGCTAATTATAAGTGATTTTCAATTCATCTTAGCTAATTATAAGTGATTTTCAATTTCCAATGTTGCAATTAGATGTTGATAGCTGTGTGTTTTGGTGGAAATAATGGGAAATCGGCTCAGGAATTCTTGTACTAACCCCATAATAATTTTCCAACTCAGAGTGATATTGATCGATCTCAGAATTCTGGAATTCGTGTCAAAGAAAAGAGCTATGGTATAGGAAATAAGCAGAAGCCAATATCCCATAAGGCTGATAATTCAAACCGTAGACCATCATTGCAAAGATCTCTTAGCCAGAATGATTTTAAGTGCCATGATGGCTATTCAGTAAGCTCTTCCCCCTTTTAATTACCGTCTATTGTATTCACTTGCTGCTGGGGATGGGGAGGAGGATTTGCATTACGTTGTTTCCACCCTTTTATGACCAATTCTTATTACAGAGCCAGTCTTCAGTTCTAACTGATGATGAAGGGAAGGATACATACTTCGGTAATGGTGTAATGGAGGAGACTATTCGAAAAATTTATGCAAGAAAGGTCCATTTCTCTGTAATATATGAAAGTTATACGCACCAAAATTGAGACATTTCCATCCATTACATATCTCTGGGTTTATGTCGTATCTTTCAGGCAAAGCAGCCCAATCGGGATGTTGTTGACAATGGCGGCTTGTATGAAGCAATGCGGAAAGAACTTAGACATGCTGTGGAAGAGATAAGGGTGGAACTTGAGCAGGTGCGTGAGATCCTTCTAATTGGTTCTAGTTCTACTCTTTATTAGTGAATAAATGTTATTTTGAACTAAGTTATCCTAATAATTTATCTAGAGTTCATCACAATTCTTTTCGAATAATTCAGGAAATGGTGAACAGAAATTCGTCTGTTGGAACTTTCAGTGATGATTTGCATTCAAGTGATTCTGGTATTTGTCAGCATACGTCTCCATTTACTAGAAATTATTCAACAAAACAAGAACAGGTAAGGATACATGTGTTTTTTCTTGTGATTCATCATTGATGTTTTCTATAACTAAGCCAGTATCAGATCTGCCCTGATATCAGTTGGAAATTTCTATTGAGTTTTGGTTTTTATGGATGGTCATCTACTTTTAATTTCTCTTCCACTTATTTATCAGTATCTTTTCTTCTCTGGCATTCTATTATAAGATCTTATAGTGATTCATTACATGTTCTGATGGTGACCAAAAAATCTATGTATGCGATGACAGTCTGGGAAGCGCAGAGATTCATTGGGTAAGATGGTGACAGAGGAGCAACTTGGTCAAGAACGTCCAAAGATGGTTAAAAATTTGCCTCCTGATCTGAAAAATGCTGTTGCAGAGAACCCTTCACGAACCAGAAAGGTGCGTGATTCTTGTATTGACTTTGACAAAATACATAGCCAAGATATCTTAATTGACTGTTCTCATCTAGGACCATCGTTGCAAAGAACTCAGAAAACTTGCAGCAATGTTTTATAATTTTAACTGTTGTAACCGCTCAAATCCACCGCTATCAGATGTTATCCTCTTTGAACTTTCCCCGCTGGACTTCCCTTTAAGGTTTTAAAATTCGTTTGTTAGGGAGAGATTTTCACACCCTTATAAAAAATGCTTGGTTCCCCTCTTCAACCCACCACTATTAGAGGTTATCCTCTTTGAACTTTCCCTTCTGGACTTCCCTTCAAGGTTTTAAAATGCATTTGCTAGCGAGAGATTTTCACACCCTTATAAAATATGCTTTGTTCCCCTCTCCAACCCACCGCTATTAGATGTTATCCTCTTTGAACTTTCCCTTCTGGACTTCCCTTCAAGGTTTTAAAATGCGTTTGCTAGGGAGAGATTTTTACACACTTATAAAGAATGCTTTGTTTCTCTCTCCAACCCACTTTTAAAATGGGTTTGCTAGGGAGAGATTTTTACACACTTATAAGGAATGCTTTGTTTCTCTCTCCAACCCACCGCTATCAAATGTTATCCTTTTTGAACTTTCCCCTCTGGACTTCCCTTCAAGGTTTTAAAATGTGTTTGATAGGGATAGATTTCCACACCCTTATAAGAAATGCTTTGTTCCCCTCTCCAACCAATGTGGGATCTTACAATCCACCCCCTTGGGGCCAGCGTCTTCGCTGCCACACTGTTCGGTGCCTAACTCTGATAGCATTTGTAACAGCACAAACCTACCACTAGCAGAAAATATCTTTTTTAGGCTTTCCCTCAAGATTTTAAAATGCGGCTGCTAGAGAGATTTTCCACCCTTATAAGGAATGCTTCGTTCCTCTCTCCAACCAATATGGGATCTTACAAAATTCTACTATTCTTCTACTTCTACTTCCACCTGAAACTAAAATCCTCTAATAAAAAACTTTCAATCTCCTACATCGCTTACTTTCTCCTTGAACTGGAACCTGGTCCCACCAACAATAACATTTAACCTCCTCAAACGAGTTTGAGTCTCTCTTTTGTTTGTAATGTTGATGATTATTTCTGTATCTATCTTCCAGAGGAGCAAGGATAGAAGTAGGATGTCAAAACGATTGAGTGAGGAGGCAGAAAAATACATTGAGGACTTCATTTCCAATGTCGAAGATACCGACATTTCATCTCTTGATGGCGATAGGAGCGACGCCAGTTCATCTTTAAGGGGGAAAGAAAAACCAAATTTCAAAATTCAAGCAGCCAGCAAACATGTTCCTCCTGGAATGGATGGTGTCCTATTTCCATGGTTGCAATGGGAGACCGATAATGATGCCACTCCTTATCCTCGAAAGAGTATGATCGAACCACCTACGACTCTGCAAACTTTTCCAAGGGATGTTAATCAGGTAACATCTAATCCACAAGCTATCTAAAAGAGCTAATCTGATTTTACTGTCAAGCCATTTCTTACCTCTCTAGCCTTTGGCGTCTTAGGATACAAGCAATGCCCAAGATCTATGTAACCAATCTGCTAGCAGCCAAGGGAGTTGGAGCCCT